CATGACCATTTTCTCAGGTTCCAGGCCACCCCATCAAACAAGGATATGACACAAACAGATGAACAGAAAACCCCTTGCTCATGGTTTTCCATCTGTGGCCCCCTTCAGATGTGCTAGGCACGCCCGGGGGGTAGGGGTTCCACATGGCCCCCATTGAGGATGGCTACACTTAAAAGTCAATGATCTGATGGTGGACTCAAAAACCATATTCTACAGATAAAGGAACCGTAGACCGACTCTGTTGGATTTGTATATTCTGAAGACAGTAGACAGTCTTCAAAAGTTAGATATTCTCTCTATCTTCCCCCAAATTGGCACCAAAAAGGAGAAGCACTTCTGCCCAGCTGGGCCAACCAGTGACATTTTGCTGCCTGAGTCACTGGTACAGCCCCTCCCCCCCACACCAAATCAAGTCAAGGTGCATAGTACCAAAAGTCGCCCATTTTATTTGGTATCTGAGGTAGAAGAATCCCACAAACATTCTCTCCCATCCCTGCCAGTAAAAAAGCAGTAATAAACTAACAGTTTGCCCTCTTATGGCACCCAAAAAGTCTCCTTCGGGCAGCTGCTTCCTTCTACCCAATGACAGAGTTGGCATCAACAGATGCAGATCAGGTCTCTGTCTGTCTCACACATGGACACATGCGCGCACATCATCCACCCAATCTGATCCCTGTATTATTCTGGAGAAGTCTGCAGGCCAAGACTGAAGATGTGGGTCCCAATCCTGTGGCACGGCATGATCACACAGCTGCCGCAAGTGTGCGCGCTGTCTGTCGTACACCCCCAGTCCTCTTGTGCAACGGGGCACGTGACTGTTGCTGCCACTGGAGACAAGCCTGGTAGTCTTCACACTGCAAAAACAGTGCCATCAGGGCACATGATCCTTTAACACTTTTCCACTTGGAGGAAAAGCTCACGGGCTCGTTTTGCCTGATGAGGCTTATTTTTTAAAAAAGCATAATAAACCCTAGTCATTGTGAGGGTAAAGGTGGTCAGTGAAAAGCTTTGCCTAACTTTCTCCTCCACGCAGCATCTATAAAGTCCAGTCCCAGTCTCTTTAATCCATTGGATCTGACCTTTCCCTTTCTCATGGGTAGGAACGTTGGCTTCCTACTGTCGCTCGGGAAAGAATAATGTAACAGAACCTACAAGGTAGGAAGTTATTCTTGCCACCCTGTCACTGAGAACTCTCCATTATATTTGCCAAATAGTAATTCCAGTGTCCTCATCACCATCCTAGAACTGCAGACCTGGAAGGGACCCTATGGATCATGAAGTCCAGCCCTTGTTAGTGAGGCCCAGTGAGGGAATCGAACTCGCAACCTTTGGCTCGGCAGCCAGAGATCTAAACCACTGAGCTATCCAGGTGTACCATGTCCGGGGAGCCCAGGAAGTCCATGATGGCCCCATCTTAAGCCCTCATGTTCTTTCTCCTTTATCCCAAGACTGGCCTCGGGGGATGATAAAGAAGTAGCAAAAATTTCTTCATAAAGTTGGAGAGTTAAAAACAACCATCTCATCACTCCGTCCTCACACTTGTCAGCATTTCCTTGTCAGTAACCTGCTAAGGTGGGGCTTTTCTGAGCCTTCTTCATGAAATCACAGCAAGGCCAGATCAATAGGAATCTGTTGGGAAGCTGATAAATACGCCGTTTCTTCATGTCACTGAAAAACACTGACAAGGTACGGTTTTAAACGGATTTAGCCTGCCAAGGCTGCCAAAGACGAGCAGGGCAGGTGCCTATGTTTCCTGTATCAGGTCAAGAACATCCTCTCGGTGGCCCCAAAGGATTGAGAGGACCTCCCCGTACTGCAGGCTGGTATGGCGAGAAGGAATCCAGCAAGGAGCATGTTGGAGAAAAGAGCCCCGATCTCCACCTGGGCGCTATTTGCAAGAGGGTGAATGAACACCACTGATCGCTGCGTCGAAGCTGCTAAACATCCAGGCAACCATTAACCAAGCAGGACAGGCAGAACTGAGAGCAGGTTGGCTTCAAGGGCACAGCCAGACATGCTCAGCTCCAGGGAATCCTGTTTAGCTTTCTTCTTGCCGGCAGCTAAAGTATTTAGCGAGAAGGTCAGAGAGAAGGCATCGCAGTATCCCTTTTCCCACTTCCGCTTTCTCCCTAGCCCCAAGGTCAAGGCAGAGGCTGGACAGCATTTCCCTTCCACTCGTGACCGCTCCTCTTGTCTCGCCCCCTGGGACCACTTGGAGGAAAAGCTCACGGGCTCTTCCCTGCTCTCTTAAAGACACCCAACTGCAAGGCGGGTGAGCAGGGCTGTTGCTCCTAGGCTGAGTCACCCTCACTGCAGAGGTCCTTCCGCAGGTCACTGAAGAGGAAATGGAGTTTTCCTCTCAGCAGCTGTTTGTAGGTTTGGAAGATCTTCCGAAGGTTGCTCTCCAGAATTAATCGAGGAGTTCCTCCTGGCTGCCCAGGCACGTCCTGTTCCTAAAACAAGAGAGGGGGAGAAGAATAACGGGAGTGGGGTGCTTATTAAGGCTAAGCCCTGCAGCAAATCCAGGTCCTGCTGGAGAAATGGCAAATTAAGGACTCAGCCTCTCAATCATCACTAGATTCTGTTTCTTAAAAAAAGAACCTCAAACTCTGAGACCAAAAAGAGCTTATTTGTCACTTTCCCATTATTTAATGCAAAGGGCTGCTCCCCACCCTACGTTAACTCACTCGTTTCAACATCATTGGTCACTGATTTGCTCCCTTGATGACCTTGTGATGGTCACAGTTTCAGACTGTTCTATCTCGCAGGAAGGTTGTGAGAATGAAGTATGAAAGCCAACCGTGAACCTGGCTTCCCTGTCTGCACAGGTGTTGCCACCTCTCAGCTTCTCCTCCTCCTGCTGCTGCCATTTACCTGCCTGGGCTCCCTCTCCATTCACCCCTCCATCTTGGTATTCAGTAAGATCCCCATTGGTTCCAAGCCCCGTACTGCGAATGCTGAAAAACGCAGACGATAACAAATGCTCTTTAAATAGCAAATACTACACCTAGTGTGTTCTCTGGCTCCCTTTAGTGGCCAGTTCTAGTAGCTTCATCATTAGAAATGTATATATTGGGGTTTTTTTTTTCTTTTGATTCTTTTAATATTTTCAGACTGTGGTTAAGTGCATCAGCAAATACTGTACTGTTTCTAGGGATAAGGGGGTCCTGCTGTATTCCTTGAAAAAAAGCACTAGCCAGGCAGAGCGCCAACTTTGCCCAAAGCTACACCAGCTAGTTGGTGGAGCTGGCCACCTCTCCATCTCTCGAAAGGCAAGGAAGTATGGTGTAAGGATGCAACCAATTGAAACAAGGGTGTAGGGAGGAGGGTGCAGAAGTAGCACACAGTCTTTTGATAGGACCCGACCTGCCTTTGGCAGGAAGGTGGCATGTAAATATAACTAATAAATATCTAAGCCCAATGAAATGTGCCAGGGTGTTAATCGTTCCACCAGTTCTTCTCACATAATACCTAAGATGAGAACCCAGTGAGGTTATCCACTGAAGCTGAATGAAGGAGGGGGAGGTTCGGCATAGATTAAAGGAAGAATCTCATCACGTAATGCATAGTTAGACTTCAGGATTTGCTGCCAGTTTGAACAGCTTTAAAAGGTGACTGGGCAAATTCATGGAAGGCATAAGACTCAGTAACTATTAGAGCGGTTGGCTGTATGTTATCTCTATGATCAGAGACAATTTGACCTCAGATATCAGGATTCCACTGTACAAGAAGCCAGTTTCACAGTCAAAGCTGATATGGTTTTCCCTCCAAAGACGAAATTCCTTCAAAGCTCTCATATCTGAGCAACTGGACTAGCAAATGAAGCCTATCAATAGTCACAAAGTAAAAGCAAAGCAATCTGCAGCATGGAGAAGTGAGAAGAGCTTTTTCTAGGATAAGTCGACATCATCTACCAATTAAGATAACTCAATTTCTAATGACATGGGAACACGGTATTGTCCAGTTTGACCCTCTAGTTGCTGAGAAGCAATAGCAAGAGGGTACAGCTGGGCTTCACAGTGTCAACGTGTTGGCCACCGTGGGAGAGACACCGCCTTTGGTCCCTCCATGGCTCAGACTAACATATCTAACTGGTTGCCAGCTCCTGTGCTTTTGTGTTAACCTTCCCAACACTTCCTCTCACAGAACTTAAAAGCCCTTGCAGGCACGGAAAGGAAGGAGCTTTAAATGTCTGTCTGCCTCATCCTTCCCGAGAGCATGCTAAGCAGGGCTCAGGGTGGCTTTAAGATTCAAGAAACAAGATGCTACTGCTGCAGCCCAAGGAAAACGATGTATGTGCCAAAGGTCGGCAGAAAGCCTCACCATTCCTCGCTTACCTGCCACCTGAAGTTCTGTAGCTGCAGGACGAAGAAGCTGGTCTTCTCAAAAAGCTGCTGAAGAAGCACCGACGGGCACCCTTGGTTCAGTTCTTGCTGGGCCGCGGTTATGCCTTCCACCAGCTTGACTAGGTCAAGGAGGACTTCCTTCCCTTTGGAAGGATTCTAAGAGCGAAAAAGGCAGGAAAACATTCAGCCTTGGTATTTTAATGCTTCTCCAACACAATGCTGTCCATATGTGTTGGACTACATCCGCCATCTTACTAGGTAGTTACACAGGTATAAGAACACGTCTCAGTGGAGGATTGGTGCTAGTTAATGAGTCGCTGTTTGAGTCCCTTCTTGCACACCAAATCAGGATATCAGTAGTGATTTGTTATTTACTGGCAATTTGGTGCTCACTTGACACCACTGCGTAGCTAACCGATGAGATTCTGGCCATTGTTTGAGAAGTCATGGCTAGCTGTTACTCCTACCCTGCAACCCAGAAGACTTCAGATTCTATGTTAGGTAAAGGTTCCCCTTGACATTTAGTCCAGTCGTGTCCGACTCTAGGGGGCGGCGCTCATCCCCGTTTCCAAGCCATAGAGCCAGCGTTTTTTGTCCGAAGACAGTTTCTGTGGTCATGTGGCCAGCGTGACTGGACAAAGAATGCCGTGACCTTCCCACCGAGGTGGTCCCTATTTATCTACTCGCATTTGCATGTTTTCGAACTGATAGGTTGGCAGGAGCTGGGACAAGCGACAGGAGCTCACTCCATCGCATCGATTTGATCTTATGACGGCTGGTCTTCTGACCTTGCAGCACAGAGGCTTCTGCAGTTTAACCTGCAGCGCCACAACATCCCATATTCTATGTTAGACAGCAACAAATAAACTAAAATAAAATAAGCATGCTACTGTTTCCCTCCAAAAATTAATGCATTGAGAGTGAAAGTATTACATTAGCTCATGACTTCCAAACTCTAGAGTTGTGTCAAGTCCGGATTTCCCCTGCCCCTTCTACCAGACATCCCTCACAAAGGAAACACTGTACAGTCCCACAGTTCTTGACAGACGTCCCTGGCAATGGTGTCAACCCAACTGGACCTGATTGCAAGCCCCCCAAAGCTCTGCTAAAATGCTCGGGCCCAAAAATCCCTTCCCCTGCATGGGCTTTCTCAGTCTTACATACTCACTGTCTTCGTCGCCCATTCTCGGAGGTTGAAACCCACCAAGGGCAAGGGTACGGGCTGCTGGAGAAGGGGGAGCATCCTGCATTGGCTCTGCAGAAAGAGGAAACAGACAACACAGAGTGAACGGTTCAGAAAGAGCGAGCAGGGCCACCATCCAGGGGAAATATATTTGGTCTCCTGACCAAGAGTCACAGCACAGGGGAGAACCCACTGACCACAGCCCTCTAGATTTCCTTCTTCTTGTTGTTGTTGTTTAGTCGTTGTTTAGTCCTGTCCGACTCTTTGTGACCCCATGGACCAGAGCACGCCTGGCCCTCCTGCCTTCCACTGCCTCCCGGAATTGGGTCAAAGTCGTATTGGTGGCTTCGATGACACTGTTCATCCATCTCATCCTCTGTCGTCCCCTTCTCCTCTTGCCCTCATGCATCTGCATGCACGCACACACGCACGCACACGCACGCACGCACGCGCGCACACACAATCTGCATGCACGCATGCACACACGCACGCATGCACACACGCACACAAACACACACAAAACAAATACAATTGCACCCAAATGGGAAATCTGAGGCCAGGTGACATATGTACCTGAGGAATTGACTGCCTAGATGCTCATTGTCTGCTATCCAGGTGGCAACTTCAAAGTCCCTGTTCCTCCTCTGTGTGGTTCTTCACCTTTAAATCAAACTTGGACGGGACCAAACAGACAGAGAAGGGCCTTACCAGTCGGTCTTCCAATTCAAAGCTTTCACGGATGTATCTCTGGAGTAGCCGTCTGTCACATACCAGCCCTGCGGGACTCATCCTGGAAAGTTTTATATGGTGCAGGAATACAGGCAGTAATAGTAGCAGCAATCCTGGGGGAGAGTGTGGGTTTGGGATGAGCACAGGGAAAAGGAAAGGAAAAATAGTCAGGGGTTCGGCACTCATCAAATCATGGATCTGCCTTCTAGGCTTTATTCCCTTCCCACCCACAGTTTCACAACCACAGAGACCATGTTTGCCCCTCGCTGAACCTAAGAACGTGGTGACAACGTCTGGTGTATAAAAAATGGATGCAACATCTGCTGGGGTGGGGATAAAGAGAATGAACAAGACTGAAACAGGGCTGGAAGGAGGATTGACTCCATGCTTTATCAGATTCATTTCTTGCTCCTCCGAAGCAGAGCGGGAAGAATGGCCAGCGTTTCCTTTAAGCGAACGCGCAACCGACAAGCCTCCTTTCTTAGTGACATTTATACCTCACCTTGGCTCCTATGAGCTTCAAGGTGGTCTCCATGGTGGTCCTCCTCCCTATTTTCCTGTCACAACAGCCCTGTAAGGTAGCTCACTCAAAAAGCCTTATAGGTGTGGATGGAATTTGAACCCAGAGTTCTGGAGTCCTACGCTGTAACCCCTGCACCACACTAGATTTCATGTGGATTCTGGGCATTTGGGGAGCCCGCGCTACCTTCACTCGTTGTCACCATGGAGACAACCGCTCTTAACTGGCCTAATGCTGCATTATTGCCATTTCTTTCTTCTCCCCATGCTCCGAAAAAAGAGACCCCCCTTGGCCTGTCTATCTGTGAGACTCTATGGTGCAGGAGGTCCTTCGGTCAGATGTACAGTTGCCATGCCATTTTTTTAATTTGCCACAAGAGCAGCATTTTTGGCAGAAGCTGCCACCAGGTTTTGGGGGTACAGACAGTGGTGTGGCCCCCAATGAAATAAGGGGAACAGTTTATACCCTCCCACGCTGAGCCCTGGGTGCAAATCTCCTCAATGGTGTTAAGAAGGGAGTCTCCCATCTCTGTCACAGCAAATGCCAGCTTCAGAGGAGGGAATTTTCCTCCAGGGGGGGAAAAACCCTGCAGCTTAAGGCTACCCCCCCCCCCAGCTGGTGCTCTTTGCATGCTTTTTAAAAATCTTACTTACTTATTAGACTCCCATCTGGCCACCACTCTGGGCGGTTTGCATATTAAACAAGAACAATTCCAGACAACAAACATAATAGTTATACAATCAAAATAAGCACAAACGACAAACCAATTTAAGTAAGAATAACATAAATAACATAAAAGCAAGAAGGCAGGATTAATAATATAAGTATTAAGACCTATCACCTTAGTAAGTTGTTATAAGGTCTGTGAAGGCCTATTGCAAAAACTGTGTTTTGAACAATCGCTTGAAAATTCCCAGTGAAGGGAATTTGCATATTAAAGACAAAGGCACCTTTAATGTGACCCCTCTCCTTTCTTTTAATTCACATCAGACTTGGAAGTTGGCAATCTTGCAATTAATCACACATTCCTTCCTTTCAGCCTTTCCCCATCAACCTGCTCTTCCCAAGCCTGCCTCAACACCTCATACTCCAAATCCTACATGTCCCATCATCCCCAGCCATGGCATTTTATCTAGAGTTTTTTTAATTCATGTGATTAAAGACTTAAAACCACGTTCATCTTCTGTAGAATTAATTAGGGGGTGTAGCTGAATACAAGACGTCAGACCAATCTAAGAGTAACCACACAATCTTGTACATGTTTTTCCTAAATCAAGCCCAGTGAGAAAATGGGTGTAAGACTGAAGACTGAGGCTTAGGTTCAGCTTGATTACAAGAATGGGGACCGTTTAGCCCTATAGATTTTTATTTTTATTTTGCCTATAACTCCCATAATTCTACCCAGCATAGAATGTTGGGAGTTGTAATCCAAAAATATCTTAAGGTCCAAAAATTTGCCACTCTGCTTTAGGCTGCGTTCCTAAATGACTTACTTTGCAACAGGTCTATGGAGTCAGCCTCTGAACAGACATAGACCAGGACTTAGAATGTTACTTTCCCCCAAATCACGCCCCCCCCCAGCCAGTGTGGACTATATTTCCCAGAATCCACCAGTCAGCACAGCTGCTACACATGCTGGGTGGGATTTTGAACATCTTCTGCCTTCCTGCAAAAAAACACACAAAAACACCACCCTGTCTAAACTCACACGTGCAATCGCACGCTTCCAAAACTGCTTTTTATTGTCAATAAATTATTAAACCATTCCTAGTCAAGCCATTTTAACAGCCGTTTCCAATGAAGTAGGCAAATTAATCTGATTCAGCGAACAATAACAGAAACGAAACTAAAAAAATATTGTGGCATCTCAAGAAGTGACAGGCTTGTTTCGGCGGGTGCTTCCCTAGATGACCATTCATTTCCTCCGAGACGTGTGTCTGAGGAAGCGGAATGTAATCTACCCAAGCTCACACTGATTACAAATATATTAGTCTTTAAGGTGGCATAGGCTTTCTGTTTTTTTGTTTCGCTTTTCGATATCGACGACTTCCCAAGTTTTAGTGATGGGGGACAATAATGCAGCCTTAGAATCAGTTATACGCCTAATCCTGCCCACCAAAGAGCTTGCCTCTGCAGCACAGATGGGTGCCTTGCTAATATCTGATCACAGTGATAACACAATGCCAGCCAGTTCTCAACCACAGGATCTTTCTCCTGCGATTCCCAGGCTGGCAAGATAACACAGTGCCAGCCAGTTCTCAACCACAGGATCTTTCCCAATCCACTGTGCTCAAACCAGACCCCTCGTTCCAGCCCATGCATAGGGTGCCGTTCCCTCAGACCCAGAGGATGCCATGCCTAGCTAGAAGGAGAGAAAACAGCCTCCAGGTAACGTGGCGAGAGGCCGACCTCTTCCCCAAGGAACCGGGAGGGCTGCCCATATCTCCCAAGACCAGCTGGCTTCAAGACACATGTCCCTGGGTCTCCGTGTGGCCAGCACTCACGGTTCAGCTCCATGCCAAGGGGGCTGCCTGGCCGTCACAACATCTTCCTGCTGGGGGACAGCACCGGCTCTCCAGCACCTGCCTGGCTTCCATTGAAGGCGGCGTTCAGGTTGAGACCCAAGGGCTGCAGCGTAGATCCCAAACCGGGAAAGACTCCAGTCGGCTGGCTGTCTCTCCGGAGTTCTGTGCTGCGTAGTTCCTCTCCTGGCCCTCCAAGTCTGGCTTCCTGTTGTGCTGTTGTTGCTGATGACCTTCGGGCCAAGGCACTCGAGCCAGGAGCCGGAAGGCTTCCCACTTCCAGGCGTTTCCTCTCGGCAGAGGAATGAGACAAGCCCTGGCCAAGTTGTGCTGCTGGTGAGCTGGTGGGCTGGCGGGCGGGCTTGTTCGGTGGCTCCCGATGACGGAACCGTGGGAAGGCGGAATAGCCGGGCTAAGGTGTTCCTGGGCCAAGATGCCTCTGGCTTGGAGATCTCCGCTCTGCTCTCGATGACTGAACCATGGGAAGACGGAACAGCCGGGCCAAGGTGTCCCTGGGCCGAGATGCCTCTGGCTTGGAGATCTCCGCTCTAAAACATCCGACAGAAAAAGAGATGAGTCACTTGGAAGGAAGTTTCAGAGGCACAAGGATCCCAAGCCAACCCTGATTGGAAAAAATGGGGTAGTCAATAAAAGGTGGAAGCAAGTCTTGGTCTTCCTTTGACCATCTTTCATGCCACCATTACTGCAGATCCATTTCTCCGGCTCTTACGGGGGAACTGATAGGAGTCACAGCTCTTTCCCAAAGTGGTTCAATGATACCTAAACTATTGAGCTCATAGATAAGTATCGTTGTCATTTAGTCGTTTAGTCGTTTCCAACTCTTCGTGACCCCATGGACCAGAGCACGCCAGGCCCTCCTATCTTCTACTGCCTCCCGGAGTTGTGTCAAATTCATGTTGGTTGCTTCGATGACACTGTCCAACCATCTCATCCTCTGTCGTCCCCTTCTCCTCTTGCCTTCACACTTTCCTAACATCAAGGTGTTTTCCAAGGAGTTTTCATAGATGCCAGCTAAAGTACTCCTAATGGAATCTGGAGGCTTCGGAAAGCGGTAATGGTTGGGTCTTGTTTATCCCATCCCCTTTCAACCTGGCTCCAGCCTGGCTTTGGAACAGAAACTGCTTCTGTACTGGATGAATGTGCAGGGAAAAATCTCAGAAGGGAGAGCACTCAATGTATCTCTGTCCCTGGACCGCTCAGCAGCTTTTGAGGCTATCGGCCACAAGATCCTTCCAGATCAGGGCTGGGGAACTTTTTTTGGCCTTTGAAATGTTTTGAACCTCATTCTGGATAACCAAAAGAAGCGCTAGCCGACATGATCGAGGGCAAGGGATTGTGGAAGCGGGACTCAAAAATAATCTGGAGCGCTAAAGGTTCTAGACAGCCTTCTGAACCAGAAATAAGGGACCTTTTGGCTGCTGCAGATGTTTTGGCCCTCACCACCCAGAAGCCCCAGCCAGCACAGTCAAGGGCAAAGGACTGTGGGAGTTGCAGTTTGAAACACCTGCCCAAGCTGTGTTTTAGTTTGCATGTGCCACCCTTGGGTACCAAGGCCACCGTGTTCCAGTGATTCCATTCCTACTAGGCAGCCCATTCCAGAGGCTGGTGCTCGGGGGGGGGGAATCTGGCTCTGTACTATGGCATTCTTGTGATAAGGAAGGGACCCTTGGAAGGTGATGTAAGTTTCTCCCCATCCCCTATTACACACTTCCATTAATTACTGCTAGAGGGAAGGAAGTAATCAGAAGCAGGGCATCTTCTTCAGGCTGATGCAGAGAGATTTGTCTCTCTTCCTCGTCTAATGTTTTCAGGCTTCCTCCAACTTATTACCATCCCGTTCCCATCAGGGATAACGTCCTCCAAGTGGATGCCCACCAAAAGAGGTGGGGCTCTAAACTGCTAATACCTGCTAAATGAACTGGCATCAAACCACCAAACTGGCAGGTCGTGCCCATCTCTACAATCAGTTTCAGAGGGGCCTTCACCCTGGCATCATCTTTCAGCATTTGGTGAATATAAGCTGGCGAGATTGCTGAGAAGCTACCTGGATATCTCAGTTGTTCAGGTATCTGGCTGCAGAGACAAAGGTGTGAACTTCAATTCCCCCCCCCCCGCCGTGCCTCCTGGGAGAACAGCCAGCTTCCAGATATTGTTCCCAAAGCCCCGATGACTACTGAAGTGTGTTTCTTCCAGAGGCAATATGTTTTGATAGCCAGGTCTCTGTACTTTGTTAGTTTTTCCAATTCTTTATTTTCAACTCTGCCATTCACTGGAATTGCAATGTCACTAATCTGGACATTTCTTCGTTTTATTACTACTATGTCTGGTGTGTTGTGTTCAAGGTATCTATTTGTTAGGATCCAGAAATACCACTGGATCTTCTTCTCCTTATCATCATCATCATCATCATCATCATCATCATCATCATCATCATCATCATCATCATCTATGCCGTGGTGTTGCATTTCTAACCCATTTCTTTCTTGAGTGCACCTCAATCGGGGTGGACAATTTGCAGCGCCTGAACCAATTGTAATTCTCAGGGGCCCCCCCACATAACACGATCTTTTAAAGCTTTTTCTGAGGGAAATCCCTTTTTTGACTCAAAAAGAAGTCTCTTTGTCTCTTTTGAGTGATGGTAGGGGGAAAATACACCCCTGTTTTGAGGCACCCTAGCATCTTGGGAAGATATTGAGGCAGTGACAGATTTTACTTTTTTGGGCTCCATGATCACTGCAGATGGAGACAACAGCCACGAAATTAAAAGACGCCTGTTTCTTGGGAGGAAAGCGATGACAAACCTAGACAGCATCCTAAAAAGCAGAGACATCACCTTGCCGACAAAGGTCTGCATAGTCAATGCTATGGTTTTTCTAGTAGCAATGTATGGAAGTGTGAGCTGGACCATAAAGAAGGCTGACTGCGAAAGAATTGATGCTTTTGAATTGTGGTGATGGAGGAGACTCTTGAGAGTCCCCTGGACTGCAAGGAGAAGAAACCTATCCATTCTGAAGGAAATCAACCCTGAGTGCTCACTGGAAGGACAGATCCTGAAGCTGAGGCTCCAATACTTTGGCCATCTCATGAGAAGACTCCCTGGAAAAGCCCCTGATGTTGGGAATGTGTGAGGGCAAGAGGAGAAGAGGATGACAGAGGACGAGATGGTTGGACAGTGTCATCAAAGTGACCAACATGACTTTGACCAAACTCCAGGAGGCAGTGGAAGACAATAGGGCCTGGCGTGCTCTGGTCCATGGGGTCACAAAGAGTCGGACATGACTTAACGACTAAACAACAAAAGCATCTCGTTGTCTCAGCAACCCCAATTTTTCAATTTTAAAAAATGCTTTGACCACTAGAGGGACTTCCCATTTCTACAAACCATCCCAATTTTTTGTACGGAAAGCATTGCTTTGGAAGTTAAAAGTATCAAACAAGCTTGAATTGTGTAGCGGGGATAGAAGTGCCCAGGGGCAGAAGAAGCCTGCATCTGAAAACATTCTGCATCCCACAGTCAGGAGTGAAAGTCTGTGCTTCCGCCCACTCTTTCCAGTAAGTCCCTGTTTGACAAGCCAAGCAAACAAACCTCTTTGCCCGAACGCGCTCTCTCTCTCCCCTTTCCTCCCTCTCTTGGTGTAACTTGGTATCTTCCCTTTCATTCCTGCTTTGCCCTAATCATCCCAAGTCTGGCAGGTCCCCTACCTTGAGAGTTGCAGTAAATTCTGAACCCGTGGCTCAAGGATCACTTGCAGACAGCCGAGGCATTGGCTGATGGGTGGAAAAGGTCCCCACCTGCACCGTGCAGCCGGACCGTGAGTGAGCAGCCAAAGATAACAGGGGTCAACCACGTCGTCACTTCCTCAGAGGCGGTTGTCCCCAGGGCAGGTGTACAAACAACGCCTCATTGGGCTCCTGGCCCAGTTCAGGATGCGACCGGCTGCACGTCTCATGGGGAGGGAGAAAGGGGCATGCCGCACAAGGTTGCGTCATGTGGATACGGGTCTATGGGTCCATTCCGTAAACCATGTGACTCGAAATCAAACAAGCAAGAGTGAGGCTACAGTATTTGGACAGGATCCTTCC